TGGGAACTACACTCAGATCCTCTGTAATAGCAGTGTGAGCTCTTAACTGCTGCACCATCTGTACCCCCAAAGCGTTTTTTTTTTTTTTTTAAGTCAAAGACCAAAGGAAAAGGTCAAGGAAGATAGTTCAGTTATCTTTGTTAACCATGAAAATATGAGGGTTTTTTTCCCCCTAAAACCAACATTTAAAAAACAAAACATTATTAAGCTGGAAATAGTAGCACATCCCTTTAATCCCAGCACTTGGGAGACACAGAAAGAAGCACAAGCGAATTCCTGTGAGGCCCAGGCTAGCCTGGTCTTCATAGGGAGTTCCTGGCCATGGCTACATAGTGACCCTGGCTTAAAAAAAAAAAAAAAAAAAAAGCCATCATAGTGACATGATCCCTGCATACATCCCCGGGGTTTGTTGAGTACCCGGTTGGGGGTGGGAAAGCTTCAGGGGAGCCACTGGCCACACTAGGAGGCAAGAGAGGACCACAGCTGGCATGGAAGGCTCCTCTGGGCATGAGCCAGTAAGGAGCCTGAGGCAGGTGTGCCTCACCTAGGCACTGTGGTCGGCACTCAGGCCTAGTTACTTCTCACCTGGCCCCGGGATTATTAACTGCTGCCCCCGCCTCTCCTCCTGCCCTTTCACCAGAGAAAGCTCCCCAGAGCTCAGATCTGACCTTCTGTCTCCCGCTTACACAGTTCTGATGGTTCCTCTCTCCGCTCCACAGCCTCCTCTGTGTTCCTAAACTTCTCAATGTCCGTGACCACGTCCACCAATCCCAGACCCTTATCCCTCCCTTCGGGAGGTCGGCCAGGAATTTCCTGTCCCACTGCCCTCCCGGCGGTAGACTCCATTCCTGTTTCTGAGTCACTCAGAGGTGACTCAAGGGTGACTCATGCCACCACGGACGGCCCCTCCCACTGAGACCCACCCCTACTGGGTGTGGCTCCTGCCAATTCCCGGGTTGCAGTCTTCCTTCCGCAACAACTGAGGAGAAACTCCTCCCCCATCATGGGGACCTGGCTTGTAAGGGACCCTCAACAAAAGAGAATCTAGTTAGTAGAGGCAGCTAGACCTTAGACGATCGGTGTTTCCCAATGCTGGACAAGAGGTAGTTGGGCTGGTTTCTCTGTCCTCACCCTCCTCACACCAGCTACAATCTAGACTCACCTGGCTTCTCAGCAACCCACCTTTTTGTCTAAATACCTATTTACAGCTAGGAGCAACTGTGGCCCACAGACTGAGTTAACAGTGATTATGATCGGGAAGATAGTCAATTTTTGTTTTGTTTTGTCTTGTTTGTTTTGTTTTTCGAGACAGGGTTTCTCTGTGTAGCTTTGGAGCCTGTCCTGGAACTCACTTTGTAGACCAGGCTAGCCTCAAACTCACAGAAATCCGCCTGCCTCTGCCTCCCGAGTGCTGGGATTAAAGACGTTCACCACCAACGCCCGGCCAATTTTAAGTAATATACAAATTTATGTACCAGGAGGACTCGAAAACACAACTCTCACCTCAAAGGGGATAAGAGACAGTTTATTCTGGAGCCAAATCTGAGTGATCGTGGCCCAGGAACACAAATTTAAGCCACCACAAATTCTGTGTTCCAGTGTGGTAACAGTAGGGTGAGGTTTTTATAGTAACAGAATAAATAAAGTGTAAATCAAAGGATTTATTAAATACATTGGGAGAAATATTAAGTGGATGATTAAGCAAAGCAGAGGAGTCTCACCTATAGGTTTAGGATGCCATCTGATGACTCTTAGGCTTTTGATTGGCAGAAACCAGAGTTCTAAAAGGTTTTTTGATCTTTTGAGACATGGTCTCCCTGTAGTCTTGACTGGCCTGGAACTTGCTATGTAGATCATACTGACCTCAGACTTGAAGCAATCTCCTGTTTCTACATCTCAAGTGCTGGGATTACACGGGTGAGCCACTACATCAAGTTTACTGGTTTTGTTTGTTTGAGTTTTGGTTTTTTTTTTTTTTAAACAAGGTTTTAGTATTAGCCCAGGCTAGAACCAGAGAGGAATGACACTTGCTGATTTATTTCCTAGCTTACTCTCTGACTAACTGTCAGACTCTTACTTAGCCAACCTTGCTATACAGCCCAGAACCACCTGCTTAAGGAATGGTCCCAACAACAGTGGTCTGGACCCTCCCACATCAATCATTAATCAAGACAATCTCCCACAGACATGGCCATAGGCCCATCAGACCTAAGCAATTCCTCAGTTGAGACTCTCTCAAATGACACCAGGCTGTGTAAAGTTTACAATTAAGGCTAACCAGGACATTTTTTTCTCAGAGTTTGCACAGCAACAGAGCTGAGAGGTCGTAGCCAAGACTGGTCCACTATGATGAAAGAATTCACTGCTATCTAGTCATCACAGGAAAAATGTCCCACTGCCATGGTTTGGACATATGTCCTCTGGGATTTGGGGATGTCCCAGCTGATAAAGAGCTTGTCTAGCATGTAAGAAAGCTCTGGGTTTGATCTTTAGCATTGCATACACCTCGCTTTCTGTGCACACCTGCAATCCCAGCCCTTGGAAAGCAGAGGCAGGAGGATCAGGAGGTCAAGGTCCTGGACAATAACACATCCGGTTTAGAGACAGCCTGGAATACACAAGACCTTATTTCAGGGGGAAGGGAGGGGTGAGGAGAGGGCCTGGAGAGATGTCTCAGTGGTTAAGGGCAGTCCCCTTGCAGAGGATCAGAGTTCACTGTACCCATATAGGACGATTCACAGCTGCTTCAGTGGGCCCCTGCACACATGTGGCAGACCACACATACGCATTGTTTAAAAAGCCCACTATGTTTTTTAAAGAAAGAAGAAAAGGCAGCACCCCCTGCTGCCTCTTGCTGTCTTCACTTCCCCTGTGTGTGGATACTCAAACCAAGATGGATGATAACATTTTTAACTCCTTCAACAGTTCCTTGGGTGGCTGGGGAGATAGCTGGGGGAGTCAAGTGCTTGCTCTGTAAGCATCAGGGCCTGGGTTTGGATCCCCAGCCGCCACACAACCCCCAGGAGTTCACTGGGTAGCCAATCTAGGCAAGATGGAGGCTCCAGGCTCAACTCACTAAGAGAGACTCTGTCTCAAACATAAGGTGGAAAGAGAGAGGGGGAAACACCTGACATCTGTCTCTGGCCTCTACATTCACACAGGGAGCACACCTTCACATACACCAACACGTTACAGGGGAGGGGAGGAAGGGGGGCATACACACACACACACACACACACACACACACACACACACACACTTTTTGGTTTTCTGTCATGCTGCTGGTGAGAATCTAGGGTCTAAAGCCAGGTGTGGTGACGCACACCTTTAGTCCCAGCACTGGAGAGGAGGCAGAGGAGGCAGGTGGATCTCCGTGAGTTTGAGGCCAGCCTGGTCTACAGAATGAGTTCCAACACAGCCAGGGCTACACAGAGAAACCCTGTCTCAGAAAAAAAAGAAAGGAAGGAAGGAAGGAAGGAAGGAAGGAAGGAAGGAAGGAAGGAAGGAAGGGAGAAGGAAAAAAAGAAAGAAGAAAAAGGAATCTAGGGTCCAGCTTATGCTAGGCAAGTAATCATCAGTGTGCTACATCTGAGCCTTAAATTCTTAACAAGTATATAATTGTATATTTATAATAGCTACATGTAGTTACTACTTGTTAATAAGTAATATAATATATAGTTATTATATAGTATATATAGTTATATATAATAATACATTATGTATAATAGTGGTTATATACAGTTATATAATATATAATAACTGTATATAGTTATTACTTGTTAATAATTTATATATTATATGTATTTTATATATACTTTTTGTTTGTTTGTTTTGGTTTTTGGTTTTTCAAGACAGGGTTTCTCTATGTAGCCCTGACTGTCCTGGAACTCACTCTGTAGACACCAACCTAGCCTTGAACTCAGAGATCCACCTGCCTCTGCCTCCCGAGTGCTGGGATTAAAGGCTCGTGCCACCTCGACTGCTAAATAACTATGCATTTATATGTCACAGTGTGATGTTTTAATTTCAGAACATGAGTGCAATATTTACTGTTTCAATCAGGGAAGTTAGCACCTCCATCACATCCTAACCCAGGGTGACCTTGAACATCTGATACGACTGCATCTCCTTTCTCAGTGCTGGAGATCAAACCCAGAGCTTAAAGACCCTAGGTAAGCAAGCACTCTACCACCTACCTGAACTACACCCCCAGCCCCTTAGTGTAGTACATTTGATTTTATCATGGTGCCAGAGATCGAACCCAGAACCCACTGCATGCTGAGTGTCTTAGTTACTGTTCTATTGCTGTGAGGAGACACAGTGAACAAGGCAAGTCATAGAAGAAAGCGTTTAATTGGGGGGTTGGCTTACAGTTTCAGAGGGTTAGTTCATTATCATTGCGGTGGGAAGCATGGCCGAACACAGGCAGGTGTGATGCTGGAGAAGTAGCTGAGAGCTTTGCATCTTGATCCATAGGAAGCAAGCAGAGAGAGCACACTGGGCCCGGCGTGGGCTTTTAAAATGTCAAAGCGCCCCCACCCCTGCACTTGACACACCTCCTCCAACAAGGCATACTCATGCAATGCTGTTGAGCTAACATGCCCGCTCGCTCATGGGCTGTCCCTATGTAGCTGGCTCGTGGGACCTGATTATAAATCAGAGGATACAGAACAGCAGCCCAGGAACTGGGGAGTCTGTTCTCCGGGTGCTAGCTGGAAGGAGCTGCAGGGCAGGATGCTGGAGAGGTGCGTGGGGCAAGGCTACTACTGGTAAACCCCGAGGTGCGCTCCAAAGTGTCGGGCTGAAGTGGCTGGGCAGAAGCCAGAGGCAGGACCAGAACCATAGGTGTCTGGGCAGAGCAAGTGTGTTCAAAAGGAAAGGAGAGAAGCCTGGGGAAATCTCTCTGAAATGCTGATGTGCCGTCTGGCATAGCTTTGGGGCTCCGATGAAGCTCAGTGTGAGAACACTTGCAGGTACTGCATGAGGCCCTGGGTTTGATCCCCAGCAGAACAGATAAAACAAAACCAAAAAAAAAAAAAAAAAAAAACAGGCTTTTATGCTCCTGCCCCAGAAAGGTACTAATAGAAACACCACCACCAAGACAGAGGCAGTGTACAGATACGAACTGCGGTTCTCAGGAAAAAGCCTCACCTGCGCTAAAGAAGCTAAAGACTCATAAGAACTGTGGTTGTGGAAGTTGGAATGCTGCAGGTACAGAGTCAAATCATCTTAGGCCGTGTCCAGCCCCTTTGCGAGTCCCTTTCACACCTCTGGGGCTGACCTAACATCCTTACTTATTGCCTGGTGAAATCTTTTGAGCTGTACCGACAGGCCACCAACTCAAAGGCTAAGAATATCATCAGATAGCTTCTGAGGTCTCGCAGCTTTGCCGTACGCCGCCATTTCCACTGATGTATATTAAAAGTGCCTTGATTTATGACTTTCTTTGTTCTGTCCCTATAAAGGCTTGAGGAAATTGGGCTGCAGCTCAGCTGGCAGTGTGCTTGCCCGGTGTTCACGAAGCGCTGGGTTCTCTCCCCAGCACGACATAAACTGAGCACGGTGGCACATGTCTGTGACTCTGGCCCTAGGAAGGGGGAGGTAGGAGGACCAGCAGTTCAAGGCCATCCTCAGGTATATAGGGAGTTAGAGGCCAGCCAGGGCCATGTGAGACCCTGTCTCTGAATGAATGAATGAATGAATGAATGAATGAATGAATGAATGACATTTCCGTTGTAACATGGTATTTGAGGTCACTTAGATTCGATGTCTTGAGCCAAGATTACTCACACTTGTCACCGGAATA